GCAAAACTTTGGCGATATTTTATAAATGTCGATAAAAAAGTATTGCGAAATGACGGCGTTTCCATTAACCAATGTTATGAGACTTAAACGTAACCTTTTGCCTCTCGCGATAACGGATTTTAGTGGGATTTTGACGGATTTTGGCTATATTTATTCAAAGGAGGCTTATGCGTGTATCTTTACAGAAGCAGCAAAGAGAGCCGCTTCAGAAACGTGCGTGGCGCAAACCATAGCAACCATAGCCTGTATAAAAAAATAAACGAAAGCATTGAGTGGCCGCAATCAGCTTCAGTGGAGCCACACTATAGTATGGAAAGCCCCTTATACTGGAGCGCGGCCACTTATGACGTGTTTCTTGGAGGTTGTAGTACATTGAAGAATGATCATATGACTTTTTACATACGCCATGTGACCTGTAAATGCGAAAAAGCCGTTTCCATTGCAGTTTTGCGAATTATTCCTTTTTCGCATTGCCTGAAAAACCACCTCATGCTAGCGTAAAAACTTTTTTGTGATATATGGGAGTTTTTGCGAAATTGACACGTTTCCATTAAGCGTATTTTCAATTCGCAATTTCAGTTTGCGCAGTTTGAAGGGTAATGGAAACGCGCCTATGGTTATGTTCTGTTTTGGTCATAACATAACCCTGAGTCCCCTTGTCTATTAGTTTCCATGGTTTTTTATTAATTTGCTAGTTAGTCATTATTAGTTTACTCCCTTCACCTGTTTTCCCATCGTCAGCTGCCCTACTTAAAGTCTTCCTTCTGTTCTGTAGTCTGTCGGTGATTGTTTGATATTTGATGTTATGACTACCCTGAGCTGGTTCCTTGCCTGAGTTTTTTTGTGGATTATAATATTAAAGACTTTTCGTTGTGGATTATCCTCGTCTTCTTCGCCTTCCTTTTGAGAGACTGTAACAAGCATAAGATATATTACAATATATTAGATATAACACAATATCAGTGGATATCATTATATATATATATATATATATATAGGATATCATTATAGGACATATATATATATATATTACAGTGTAGGATATATCATGAATTCCTGTTGCTCACCATAAATACATTATTGCTGGCTACTGTTACTATTGTCAAGTCACCTTTATTTATATAGTGCTTTATACAATATAGATAGTGTCAAAGCAGCTTTACAGTGTTAAACAGGAAAAAATGTGTGCTGATAATGCAAAAGGACAATAGAAAACAGTCAGTCTATCAGTTAAAGTCAGTTCATTGTTTATTAAGTGATGTCATTATCCAACTCAGTTCAGTTCCCTTCAGTGTTGCCAGAAATTGTGTCCCCAACTAAACAAGTCAAAGGTGACAGTGGCAAGGAACCAAAACTCCATCGGTGACAGAAATGGAAAAGAAAAAAACACTAGTGAAAAACCAGGCTCAGTTGGGGGGAGGGGGGCAGTTCTCCTCTGGCCAGATGAAACCAGCATGGTGTGGCAGAGGACTCGTCTGGTTCTCGCGGTCTTGTGCCGATGACTGACGAGGTCTTCACAAGTTTGTCCAAAAAAAAAATCCCATTTCTAACTTTTCTTAATTGTTGTCCAGGCAAGAGGAAACGAAGCCTGCACCATCAGGAGCATCTTGCTGTTTTAAGAGAGATGCAGGTGGCTGATATTCAAGAGCAGGAGCTGAACCAGGCACAGAGGGAGCGCCATTTGCAGATGGCAATCGATGAGGCCTGGCAGGCGAGGGAGCTGGAAGTGGCCTTAAGGATGGAGGAAAATGCACAAACGGCTGCATTCAATCAAGCCTCCCTCAATATCATGAGGATGCTTGTACAGACGATGAGTGGCCGGCGAGAACAGA